GCGACGTTCTCGCCCTCGCGTCGGCCGCTGCGGTCGTCGGCAATGTCCTTTCTCGACTCGGGGCGCCGACTTTCGACGGACGGTTTCTTCTGGACATCTGTGGCGCTGTAACAATAAGCGAAACGTGAAATAAATACTGCAAATAATTATTAACTTCCCCTCACAATCCAAACAGGAGAACTTCGAGATCCGATGCTCGTCGCCTGTCGCTGGTCACGGGCTCGGGCGCTGCAAACACGTTCCACGCAGGCCTCGGGGGTACCATAGGCTGAGCGGGAACAGAGCGCCGTTAGTACTCGGTATACCAATACACCAGGTGGCTGAATCACGCTGCGCACTTACGTGGTTATATTGTACCGCATGCACGCGTGAGGGCGGGTTGCCTACTCGCACGGAACCGTAAGGAGCCGTGGGCAGCGAGGATAGGCAAACCCCCTCGCACCCACCCAGATTGCGGTACAGTCTAACTACGAAAGTGTGTGGCGTGAATCAGCCACTTGATACAACACGAAGAAGGATGCTGCCGGCTCGACTCTCACCTGGTCCACGATGTGCACGATGCCGTTGCTCGCCATCTTGTCGCACTGCTGGACCACGGCCTCGCCAATGCGCACACGGTTGCGCGAATCCTTGCGAATTTTGTAGGTGAGGTTCTCGTTGAGGGTCTTGACGCGGTTCGTGAAGAGCCACGACGACACGCCCACGCCACTGCAGCACAGCGGGGCTGCAAGATAATAGTTTTAGGGTAATGTTTGGAAAGCAGTCGCGAGATTGGAAGAGGAATGAGTGGATTCTGCCTGGGTCGGGGCCTTACTGGGTAGAATGTGACGTTTCACAAAGACGTCCGCATCTTCCTTCTTGGCCTTGATCTCCTGCAGTCGGGCAGTGCTGACTCGGCTGTTCTCGATGGCGTGGTTGGTGGGCGCCAGTAGCGTGAAGGGAGGGTGGACTCCGGACGAGCTCAGGTAGTCTTTGAAGGACGACGCCTGTTCAAGGACAAGTCACACGTAATTATATACTTTTTCTACAGTCCCCAAGACTGCCTAGTCTACCAGA